TTGTTTTCAATTAGATCTCATCAGGCTTAACTCTAATATATATAAGTTTACAAATAAAATTCAAATATAAAGCAATCATGGTGTTTTGTCTATAGAATAATACGATGGTGAATATAAAATTGTGCACTTAGTCATAATAGTGGTAATGATAATATTAATGATAGTAATAATAATAATATTAATAATAATAATGGTCTTATCAATAATAAGGATGAAAAAGTGAGGCAATCTGTGATAACACGAATAATGAAAAAACAGCATAATTAAACAAACAGTTGTTCAGGTGGAAGTAGTCGATAAAGGCTAGTAAAAACAAATGAACCGATTAAGTAATGCTAGATTGTAAGGTAAGTAAATGAAACACGTTTATAATGAAGATGTGATAAGATTAAGGGATGATAAGAAAGGGGTTGAAAATATAAAACAAGGGGGGTGGTGTAGAAGTCATTACTTGGTTATGTCTTATTAGGCCATGGGAGGGATAATGGCTGCACGAACTTCTTTTGAATGCATAGCTTAGGTTTAATAGTTCGAATGCCTATCGCCTCAGCTGTGTGCAGTAGACGAATACGAAGTCTATTAGAAAGATTCGGAGGGATACGATGAATTACTTTGAAGGCTTTCGTTTTATCGACTACATGACCACTATCAATTAGATGTGACAGAATTGAGCTACGGATTGTTTTTGTCTGTCCTTTGCCAAACCACGATGGGAGATGTTAACTAACACGTTGGCTAAGCTGTCTAGTAGTACGCCCAACATAACTGTCACCGCAGGTGCAGTTGAATTGATAAATACACATAGATGTGGCAAAACTATCAAGCTTATCCTTCGTTTGCGTCCCAATCATTCGTCGGCTAGAGAATGACAAGCATAGGTGTGCTGCGTAAAATGTTCTACGTATGCTCCTTGAAAGTCTTTGGAATAGAATCTCACTAGATAAGTCCCCATTAAATTGTAACTTAATAAATAGAGGTTTCTTATGTGCAGTCATAGTCACAGGTTTCTTCTCTGATGGTTTCATATGTTTCTTTATGAAACTACTCGGATAACCCATCTCCGTCAAGGAATCGTGAATATATTCAAACTCCTTTTGTAAGAGGTCCTCCGTACATATCTTCCTTGCTCTGCTCGCGAGACATTTTACAAGATTCTTTTTATATTTAATGGGCACGTAACTACGGAAGTGTGTGTACTGCCCTGTGAATGTGCTTTTTTCTGTACACCCTTCTCCCAAGTGATCCATCTTCTCTCCTACTTAGCAAGACATCCAGGAAATGTAGTTTATTCTCCTGCTCCTCTTCACAAGTAAAGGTAAGCGAAGGGTGGATGTTGTTGAATTTAAGTAGCAACTCGTCTATGTTAACCTTCTCATCAGCTAAGATAAATGTATCATCGACATATCGGTAATACATATCCAACTCCTTGATGGTATCCTTCAATTTCCCGTTTTCAAGTTTTGCGAGAAAGAAGTCAGCTAATATTGGGCCTAATGGTGAACTACCCATAGCTATTCCATCTACTTGTCGATAGTATGAATTATTGAAGACGAAGTGCATTTATAGCCGTAGTCCTATTTTTTAATCTTCCCCAAAATCCTCTATAAAATTCCTATGTGTCCCTGTAATGGGATTCACAAAATCCTAGAATGGTTCACTCTGTGACGAATATATCCAAGGGATGACAGCGAGTTATAACCTTTCCATTCATCAGTATGTACTATAGATTCCTGTTCCACCAGTCGAGTGACAATAGATACTAAGGTAGTAGACTTTCTGTCTGCTGTTCTCTCCACGAATCTTTTCTGCTGGGAGGTGTCATGTAAACCTATCACCCAAACATTGTTGGCTCGCTCACGACCACGGTTGTATTTTTTCTTCAATAAGACCACGTCCACGTGTACGACGACACCTTCTCCGCTTAACAACGAAGTAATTCTGTCCATTTTCCATGAAGGGATGTCTCTGTAGTGCTGGAACTACTGAACCGTAGACATGAGGCTTTTTTCAGTTTCAGCAGTCTCGCCTCTCATGGACTGTTTGAAAACACAGTATTTACAAATATACAAAATCTGGGTTAGGGAGAGATGCGACCTAGCAAAAAATGTTCTTACGAAATATTAAAATCATCAGTTTACCTTCCCTAATACTAACTCGTCTCAAGCAAATTTTACAACAATGTACATCCACCGATCGACCTGCTGAAGCTTTTTAAACTCCACATGAGCAAGTCCTCTCCTTCTTAAGCAACCTCAAGTCCAGACAATACTACACAACCTTATCCTCATCGAATTGCAAGCGTAGCTTCCTTAGAGTAGGAACTTGACTCGAAACAAGCGGAATACAACCTTGGACTCAAGTGGATGAACCTCATTGGGTCATTCGCTGATTGGTAGTTGGTGGTGCTTAAAGTTTAACTTGGCCACCGGACTGGATGGATACTTGGCGCTCATTCTACCGCTGGACCAATTGATGTGTTTAAGGATATTCATGGTGAGTAGTTTAAGTAATTCGGGATACTTTATTGTTATTCATTTCATTTACAAAGTATTCATAAAACAGCATATACTCACTATTAGTATATTATTATTATCATCACTATTATTCCTTTGTATCCCAAATGGAACATGCAGGTCCAACAGCACACTGTCACTTCACTGTGTTCTCTGACATCATTTTTTAGATGGCTCCTTGATGACCCATTGGCTTTCATTTCTTTCTTGGATTATCTCGTACATGTCACTCTGGGACCCACGTTCAATTAATCGTTTCTCGACACACCAGTGTATGATGTCAGTCAGCAGTCTGCTCGGCGTATGTCTGATTCACCTGCACTTCGTGCTAAATATTTGTTGGGTGATAGGTTCTTGGTTGATTCCATTGTGGGTGAAATTTATTTTGATAAAGTCTCACAGTGTTATACAGTAAGTAATATTTACTGATGACTACGTTTTGAGCACAATTTAATGCTGCTCATAATCATATCAAGGTACTCACACAACCTTCTAACTTCGTTTATATCATTGCATTATATTTCAACGCTTGACTTGATCGGTATTAGTGTTTTCCATATTTCCGGTATGAGTGATTAGTCCTTCTTATTGGACGTGTTGGCTGTAGACTGGATAAATAAGGATTCAGTAATCAATCTCTCCTTGTCTCCAACTACCTATGCTACTTTTTTGAATTTTGATTCTGTCCTAACTTCTTGTGTGTTTATGTGTTAATGCATGCAGTGAAATTTTTTCTATTCCTTTACGTTCCCAGTGGAAAATATAGGCTTAAAGCTAGAGGCTCGAAGTTTCGGTAGCGGTAGTATTTATTTTTACCGCATGGGGTTGTTAGCCTAATGTCCAACCTTCCTGTCTTTACCAGTCGTATTACTAGCTAGCTTAGCGAAGTAAAGGAGTGCATCAGTTGCCGGGGATCAAACCCCGGACCACATGTGGCGTGGTTGGCGAGCATTCTACCGCTGTGCCACTGACACAATGTGCAGTCCAACTGCTGATCTTTTTCTAAATTACTTATCTTCGTGGGATCAATCATTCTAACTTTAGCTAAATTCTTATGGTCTGATAATTCGACTACTTCCGACCTACTAGTTAGACCTATGTTGTTTACCTCACAGTCATTGCAGGGTATTTTGTAAATTATATTGTTTTGTCTAATTGTATCAACCTGTAGGGTGCTTTAACCTACAGAGCTTGTCCTACCTGAGTGAGTCAGTAGGTTTGAATGCCATCCTAATTCCTGCTTTATTGAGAATCTTATATATGGTCTCAGATGTCCCCTCCTTACGTGGTATAACAGTAGATGACTTATATTCTCTCTTATTTATGTTATCATTATTAGTTTCACAATTATTTTCATTTTTCTTCTGGCCTTCTTCGATCTTCCTAATGAATTTTATAGGATAGCTACTTAACACCAACGCCTCTTCTATCTGTTTTATTTCATCATTTTGATCTTTTCTTGTGTTACTTAGTGCCACAGCTCGGTTTGTTAGACACTTAACTAAGCCTGCCTTAACAGTCAACGAATGAGATGAATTAAAATCTAAACATCTATTAGAATGTGTTGATCTTTTATAAACACTAGTATGAAGTTTACCTTCTTTCATTCGTTTTATTTTACAATCTGACTTGGTTAATTCTCACTATTCATTTTCCGATTCAAATGTGAATTTTATTCCCTCTACTAGTGAGTTTATATGTGTCAAGAAGCTAGAGATATGTTCTGCTTTTAACACAGTGTGTGTGTGAAAGTGTCATCCACATATCTCCACCATATTTTCGGAGTAGGATTAAATGTATTAAGAGCACTACTTTCTCAGCTGTCCATATATATGTCTGCTACGATAGGGGATATTGGTAATCCATCATCCCATTGCTACACCATCTGTTTGTTTATATATTTTGCCTTGGAATTTAAAGATAGTAGATGTGAGGCATAACTGGGCAAATTTAAAGTTTTAGCATCACCAACTATCAATCAGCAAATGACCTCGAACGCACCAATCACAGGATGGTGGCATTTTTGTGTATGAAATACGTATATTTATGAAAAAACTGCATAAAAGTGTTACAGAGGATGCTTTCCTCTCACATGTGATAAAAATAGCTCTCAGTTTTTGGTTGGAGTATCAACAGAGTAAAGTCTTATAGTGCAATACAGTAATTTCTCCTGAGCAATAATTTGTGCTCGTGACATCATCAGTAAATATGACTGTATAACACTGTGAGAATTTATCAAAATATATTTTACCCACAATGGAATTATACTGTACACAAGTACTATTCTTATATCAACAGAGGAATTTAACCCCATTCTCTGCATGTAACTATTTAGCTCTTTTAACCCTAACGTTTCCTAAACTTAACCCTAACATGAAAATATCCCTAAACTAAGTGTAATCTAGCTCGAGCCGACCCTAATGTTGCGTTAATTAGGTTAACCTAACCCTAATTTGTCCTTGGTCTAGACCGTTTAATAATTAAACACTTCGATGAGCATATTTTATTAATGTTGATTACAGTACTTGCCAGGCTTCACTAACTTGCTCAGTGAGCGAGCGTTTCAAGGTCATTGGTGCGGTCCCACTCCATTGGTAGTAGTTAGTGGTGCTTAAAGTTTAACTTAGCCCACAACTGTATTCCTAAAAATAGTTTTCTCAATGTGCAGTTTTGTCCTATGACTAAGTATGCGAACAGAAGTTCGTTGCCTTTTGATCACTTCTAAGGCTGCCATATTCAACTTTAAACCATCATTATTAACAAACAAACAAAAGTAGAAGAGAAATTCTAACTTTTGAAATTATATACTCCTATTCTGAAAACAAAGAATGCAAGCAGAATTCACAGGTATACATACAAGTATTAAAATTGATTGAAATTCAAGTAGAATGCAAGAGAAGTTTATCATAATAATAATGTACAAAATGGAGATTATTTTTTGTGTGTGTGTGTGATTTGTTAGACGAAAAACAGTAAGTAACACAGCCAATACAGTCACAACAATCCACTAGGCGTTCAACATCTCAATATACACAATTGTTATTATCTATATTGACAATTTCCGCTACTGATGTACAAAAGGCGAAGAAAGAGAAATTCATAGATAGATAGATAGACGAGTATACATGAGGCATTGCCTCATTTCTTATCACGATAAAATTTCTCTGCCCATTGAACATATGGCATAGCAAATTGAAAATGAAGTTGTTGGCGTGATTTGCGTAATATTGAATCTTTGTAATAAAATCTACAAAATACATAATACACATAATGGTAAATAAAGCCTATGTCAGTAATTTAAATGTGAATGGAATAAGCGGGAGAATTTAAAATAAACTCAATTAAACCTTTGAGATGCGTCGGTGGTATAGCGGTTAGGACGCTTGCCGACCATACACATGGTCCGGGGTTCGATCTCCGGCTGACGCACGCCTTTACCTCGGTAAGCCAGAAATAATGCTGGTAAAGAGTAAAGGTTGGACATGAGGCTAGCAACCCCATCCTGTAAAATACACACTGCTACAGAAACTACAAGCCACTAGCTTGAAGCCTTATGTTCCACTGGGAACGTGAAGAAAAAAAAACCTTTGAGATACCTCAGTAACAAGCTTTAAGTCTTTGAAGTTTTTAGTGTCAGTGATCTGTCCTTTTTTCACGAGGTGTAATCACCAGTTGTACGACAATGTTACATGCTAAGTAATCCACAATGGGAAACTCATAGAATCCTTCAAAGTGAAGATGGGAGTAAAGACAAGGCTAGCTGGGTGGCTGGTTGACTGGCTGTCTCTTACTATCTCCTATGATTATCCTGATTAAGGGCGGTAGACTGAATAATGCGACAGACAGTGTGGGCCGGGCAGGCATAAAATGGACACACACAAAAAAGAGCTTGAGGGATCTGGACTTCGCTGATGATGATGATATATGTCTGATTTCCCACAAAATGGAAGATATGTAAGTGAAAAGCATAAGTTGGCGACAGAAGAAGCATCAAAGAAAGGGCTTCAGGTGAACATAGAGAAAACAGATGTGGTGATGAAGATTCCTGGCCAACAGCAACACCAACAGCAACAAAAACGAAAGACAATAATCAGCCAGCATAAATGGGAAAAATCTGAAAGAAGCAACCTCCTTTGTTTAGTGATCTGGACTGATGAGGATATCAAAGCGGGGATCGGGAAAGCAAGACAAGCTTCCAATAATTACAAGTCTGTGTGGAAATCAACAGCACTCAGAATCAAAAATACGACCTGGATTTTCAACTTCAATGTGAAGTCAGTGTTACTTACTATACGGGTCAGAGACTTGGCGGCGCGTCATAAAGAGCACCTTAAACAAACTACAGACCCACATTAACAGCTGTCTTCGCTTGATACTACTCGACATCAGATGGCCGGCCAGAAAAGATCAGCAACAGGGAGGGATCTCTGGCAATGAGCGAACCAACTGTACAACAAATAGGCAGGAAGAAATGGAGTTAGGTGGATTGGCCATACTCTGAGAAAACCATCAAGTGAGTGACATCACACCCCAGGCTCTCGAGTGGAACCCGAATAGGAAGCGGTGTGTTGGTCGTCAGTGCGAGGGTGACATGGTGGAGGTCATGTGAAGAGGAGATGTAAGCATGTGGGCAGACGTGGAGACAGTTGAAAACGTTGGCAGAGAACCGAACGCAATGGAGACGTGAGCGGATGAGGCCCTATATTCCTCTAGGAACCAGAGGAAACAATAATATAATAATGATAATCACTAGTCTCACTCTCAACCTCCCTCATTTTCTGAGCTGACTACAAGCAAGGCGAAGTTTAGGTGTTCACCAGCCTAGAATTGATCCAGACCTCTCACAAAACTGGTGAGCATTGCACCACTGAACTATCGAAGCAAAACTAGGCATTACAGCCTATGCGTTTCCCTTTAGTCTGGAACTGGTCGGAGTGCATACCCGTAACCTCACTGAGGGGTCGAACCTAGGGCCTACAGGTTATGAAGTGAGCCTGTAGACAATTCAACTGCTGTAAGACTATTTAAAAATAATCTTCACCAGTTTCACTTTTCATCAAATAGATCTGAATCGTCTGGCAGACTGAAATAAGCAAGCGAAATGACTGAGATTATCCGACATAGATGGTTTAATATACTATAGGTTGTATGAAAGCTTTTTCGATTTGCTTACAGCAGTGTTATTTGCAATGAGGAACTCTTTGAGTGGGACACTTTTTAGTGCTTGAATGACATCAATGATGAACTGAACAGACAAAATTAAAAATACCTTGTTAGTCGATTCAATATCTTGTTATAATTTTTATACACGACTGCTCTGATCTCTGAGTTTGTGCTAAAACATCTAATGTGAAGTATTGATTATATGAATTGCAGTTGAGAAAAACTAACTTGGAATCATATGCTGATTCTTTTTAGATATTTTTTTAAATTCCTGTACGTTCCCAGTGGAAAATAGAGCTACATCAAGCTAGAGGCTTGAAGTTTCGGTAGCAGTAGTATTTATTTTTTCCAGGATGGGGTTGATAGGCTCATGTTCAACCTTCCCTCCTTAAAAGTCGTATTACTAGCTAGCCTAGCCAGGTAAAGGAGTGCGTCAATGGCCGGGGATCGAAATCCGGATCACGTGTCGATTGGTTGGCGAACATTCTACCGCTGTGCTGCCATCGACTTACCAACGATGTTCATGGTAACGATATTACTTCCTTCTAACAGATGTGAATACTAATTGTATGATTACAGGATAAGTCCAATGATTATTTAGTCAAATGAAAAACTGATAGTTCGTCTTATGTTATCAGTTGATGTTTTAGGATTAAACCAGAGTTTCTATGTCAAAACTCTTTATTGTTCAGGCTGTAGCAGTAAATAATATCCCCCAAAATGATTAGTCTACAGTATTCTTCATTCAGTACTTATTGGGTGATGACCTTCACTATTGAAGTTGAACAGTTGAGCCCAAGGCACGTGGTAAAGTATTTGTGCCATTTATTGTGCTTTTATGTTATATTCATATGTTTGTGCATGCACTGAGAGTTGGTTAACCAGCGATCACTGGTCTACATTTATGATCCCAAAATATACATTGTATTTTGGACAGTCAATTGATTGTTTTTATTCGCCTCTTGTCTAATTAGAATAAGTACTTGTAACTCACTTCAGCGAATCAGGGATTGACTTGTTATCTTCAGGGCGTATTCTCGTTGACTTAGAATATGCAGATGATATATAGTCCTCCCACCTGGATGAAGACGCTGCCAAAATGCAGAGTCTTTTGAACACTTTCATCAGCAGCAGTCTGCAAATGTTTGGCATGCGATTCTCTCCCGCCAAATGTAGGATGATGTTACAGGACTAGACTACAATGACACCTAGTTTAGAGCACAGATGGGAAATAAGATGAGTGTTTTCATGGTCAAAATAAATAAGTAACTCGTTAGAATGTTCTGATGATGTACGTGAATTGAACTGAAATAGAATTTTAAGATTGTTTATTATCCTCTTCTGATTTGACTGGCGGTAATAATATCTTCCATGCACATCTCTGGTATTTGCATTGAGTTACTTCTGTTGCGTGTGTTGGGTGTAGACTCGATGAACCAGGCAGGATTCAGTAATCAATCTCTCTCTTTGTCTCCACCTACCTACACTGCTTCGTAGAATTTCAACCCTCTCCCCACCTTGCAATGACTGTGATTTAGGTCAACTACATAGGTCAAACTAGTAGGTCGGGGGTAGTCAGACTGTGGGAACACATGAATTTAGCTAAGGTAAGAATGGTTGACCCCGAGAAAATAAGCAATTTAGAAAAAAGCTGAGCACACCATTGCAGTGCATGCATTAACACACAACCACACAATAAGATGGGCGGGAGAGGGTTAAAATTCTAAGAAGTAATATAGGTAGGTGGAGAGAGGGAGAGAGATTGATTACTGAATCCTGCCTGGTTCATCGAGTCTACACCCAATACAAGAAACAGGAGTAACTCAATGCAAATACCAGAGATGTGCATGGAAGATATTATTACCGCCAGTCAAATCAGAAGAGGATAATAAATAATCTCAAAATTCTATTTCATTTCAATTCACGCACATCATCAGAACATTCTAACGAGTTACTTATTTATTTTGACCATGAAAACACTCGTCATATTTCCCATCTGACTGTATTTGGTCAGTAACACTCATATTATTATTTCCGAATGTACATTATTCTACATTGGTTGATTTTTATTCAAATGTCTAATCATGAATTCCACTCATGTATATAAATGAAGTAAGAAAAAGTTGTGTGACTGAGTGACTGGTTTGATATGATTATGAGTGGCAGCGATAGTTTGTGCTCGAAACGTGGACGTCATCAGTTAATATTATTGTATAACAAACACCGTGTGATTTACCAGAATGAAATCTTATCTATAATGGAGTTATACTCTACTACCACAGTGCCCAAGTTTTATACTTATATGAAAGACAAATGCTCTCACTAGACACCACCTCTCTATTCACAAGCATCCTCCTGACCGAAACACAATATGCTTCCTTTGTAACTACATCGAAACCAACAGCCTTGAAGTTCCACTCCGCGCAAACTACCTGAAGGAACAACTATTTCTCAGATATACGTTTAATATCCAGTTCAAATTCAATGAACAATTCCATGAACAAAAAGATGGTGTAGCTATGAAGTCTCTTTTCTCAATCCATTCACTTCTAGCCGACTGCTTCGTGACTGGAGAATCTAGAAAACAACGTCTTTGATCCTTTGATACATCAAAGATGAAGAGAAGTCTGTCTAAAACAAAAAAAAAATAGTATCATCCTATTAACTTACCGCATAGCTCTAGCCATTTTTTCATAATCCATATGTTTATTATTTCGATAATGACCCCATTCTTTTGCGCTTAATTGTGTATTGACAATACGAAATATTCCTGTGGATCTGTTGACCCATTGAAATGCTGTCGTCTCATTACCTGTCTCTAAACGACACAATATAAACTGCCACAGTTCCATTTGTTTACTTTTACGTTTTGTCAACCAATGACAGTCAACTGATGAAGTTGTAGGAAATTTTTTATGCTTTTTATATTTTGAGCTTTTTAAACACTTATAATGAGAGTGATGCTCTTGATGCTGACGAGGATCTCGATGATGTTTACCTTTGAGTTGATCTATCGATGAGTTAGATCTTTCTGAATCAGAATTATACACTTTTTCATGTGTTGCAGGAGATAATTTTGTCTTTGTTGACCTCTTTCTATCATCACCATCGTCATCATCATGTTGTGTGGAGTTAGTTATCCAGATAGCTGATTGAAAATCTTTATGCATACGTCGGGTAACTGGATTAGGCCACCATGGTTCAAATTCATTCATATCTGTAGATGATTGTGTACTACAATACGGTTGAGGTTTATTTCGATAACTTGTACTACCAGTGACAGAATGATTAAATCTTCTAGAGGTAATAGCTTTGCAATAATACACTTCTGAGGTGTCATTCACCTCTGGTGATAAGGATTCTTCACTATCATCATCCTCATCACTAAACGATGAATCTGAGTTGCTGTCCTCACTAGAAGTATATGCGCTGTTGGGCCTAGATTTTCTCTTCATCTTTAAACGATGCTTTTTTAAACGTTTTTGTCGTAATAAATTAGTGTGGTATTCAGCTTCAGAACAAGTTAGCGTACTATCTGAATTGTGGTCATCATTATGTCTGTCTTCATGATAAAGATTACTATTATTATTATTGTTATTAATATTGCAAGAAACTCTTTCTGTATCTGACACATTATCGTCTATCTGTTCCACTTCATGTAACAGATCGCTTTCAATGGATGATTTACAAGTTTTTGAAATGTTTACAGGTTGATTGGATAATTTGCCGGTTGAGCAGGATGTTAACTCATTACTTAAATGGGATTTCACTGTACAATAGGGATCAGATTTATTGATTTCTTCAGGTGGATTGACAGTTGAAAAAATCTGTTCAACATCATCTAATCCCAAGCCTAAAATGTATAGTAATACTAGACAATTAGTAGAAAATAAAATGTCTACTATAACGAGAAAATAAATAAATAAATATGAAATTTAGAAAAAAAAGTACACATATGTATTTTCTATGGTTTGCTTTGTAAGGATTAGTCATGTTTTTACAAGTTGATCACAGATTGATATCAGTTAGAGAACCGTTGAAAACCAGGGAGTACTGGACAGCTGCTGTCTCATCCTAGTTTGGGAATCATCGGCAGTACGCACCCACCGCCGCCAGGCTTCGAACCCAGGACCTTCCGGTTACAAGGCAAGCTGGCTCGTATACTATTCAGCCACTGGGATCCGTTTCGTTGGTTAGCCCATGAATTCTTACTTCCACCAATCCGTGACTTAGTGCAACACCAACTAATCCTTACAAACCAAACTATAGAAAATTTATCGGATGCTCGCTAGTGACTTGCTACAGAATGGAGTTTCCTGGAGTTCTAGTGAAAAGTCGTGACCGGTGAGGTCCAATTAGATATCACGTGTGTGGATGAATGTCCCACCAACGGCAATGGTTGGGGTAGCGCTAAATCACGAGGTGGTAGAAGTTATAATTCATGAGCCATTGAATCGGGTCCCAGTGGCTGAATGGTATACGAGCTTGTCTTGTAACCGGAAGGTCCTGGGTTCGAAGCCTGGCGGCGGTGGGTGCGTACTGCCGATGATTCCCAAACTAGGCCTTTTTTCAACTCGTAAAAATATATATGTATGCTTAGGTTATGAAGGGACGCGATCCAGTGGCTCATGAGTTCTAACTTCTGCCCAGTGGCTTAATGGTCTATGAGACTGCTCGAACCCTGGTGGTGAGCACATACTGCTGAAGAGCCCCTAACTAGGACAGGGAAAACAGCTGTCCAGTACTCCCTGAAGGTATTCCAATGGTTGTCTAACACTGATATCAACTCATGATGAAACCCCCGAACCAAAGCTTCAATGACTAACCTCTCTCTCCACCTAACTATATTACTTTTTAATACTATCACCCTATCACTGTGTGACTATATGCAAGTGAATGCAGTGCGATGGCTGAGTCTTTTTCTAGGTTATTTAACTTATCAAGATCAATGATTCTAGCTCTGGCTAAATTTCTACGTTCTAATAATAATCTATTTGACCCCGATCTACTAGTTTGACCTATGTCATTGAACTCACAGTCAGCGTTAAATAGTATTTGGTAAATTATATTATTTTTCTTAATGGGACCTATTGGGTGCTTTAGATGAAGAGCGAGGTCAATCACTAAAGCTTTTAAAAATTAAAAATTTCAACCTCACAAATAAAAAAATGATCTTCCTAGACGTCATCTCTCTTTCTGTCTCTTCACCAATGTTCCACTGGCAGAGACTATATGTTTTCTGCATGACTTCATCCAATTCAACAGCATATATGTCGGCATACCGATCCATTATCTAAAGGAGCTGTTACTACGTTGTATCTTCAACGTCTATTTCACATTCATTGTTGAAATCTACAGGCAAACACATGATGTAGCAATGAGCTTCCAATTGGACCTCTCTTGGCGGAATATTTTACGGCCAGCCTTTACAATAACTTCTTGTCATCGACTATCACTGACCCCCATCTTTACAAGAGATAGATTGATGATACTTTCATCATTTGTGATGAGAACCTGGACCTTTAAACCTTACTTCAAACCTACAACAATGCCTGCCGAAACATCGATTTTACTCTTGAGACTGAATCCGACGGAATGTTCCACTTCCTTGACGTCCATCTAACAAGAAACGCCAACAACTCTCTGAAAAGTTCCATATAAAAACGCCTACATGGAATGGACGATTCATCAAATTTCAAAGCTTCGTACCCCTAAACAGAAAGAGGAACCTGTGTACGCTCTTTCCTCAAGGATTTGGAAGACATGCAGCGAGGAAGTGATTGATGAAGAACTGAGTGTTCTCCAAGGAACCCTGATGGAAAACGGTTTCCCGCCCAGGTTCATAGACAAGAATCTGAAACCTAAGAAGACATCCGAACAAGTCCAATCCGTTCCGGAGAAGATGCTTCTGCTTAATCTAGAATTCAAAGGTGACATTGAAGCAGAAATCCTTCGCAAACGCCTCTGCGAAAGTGTGAGGAAAACATACTTCGCTACAAGCATACGACTGGCGTTTTCCTGCAAGAAACTGTTCAGCCAGAACGCGAAAGACAAGCTGTAGCATTGGGCCACCTCAACGTACATATACCAGCTTACTTGCTCTTGTGGAGCTGAGAACGTTAGCCGTACTATTCGCCGACTTGAAAAAAGCGCTCGTGAACACTATCCAGTCTGACTAGTAAAAGGAGGACGAAAACGTGTATGTAGTTCGCTTACAGGACATCTGGTCAATTCAGGACATTCAGCGACTTTCGAAAAATCCTTCAAAATCATGTACAAGATTCGATCAAACCTATCAAATGGAGTAAAATTAAGACATCTGTGCATATCCGAGGCACTAGCTATCCGAAAGCTCAAACCCACGCTATGTGTATCGTAAAGAAACACGTCCAACTCTTGTTTCTGCCATGGCCATCATAAACAGGTAATTTTGTTTTTAGTAATGACCATCCCATTGTCTTTCTTATCCAAACTTCCTGTTTATTCATGTTATTTTAAGTTTTTCTTAATCCTTATTTACACTACTGTATTTTAATATCCGAACTTCCTGTCCGTTTTGTCATATTATTATTTCTACGTATTTAATCCCTAACTGCATAAACATTTATTCATCACATTAGTTATGATCCCACTAGATTTTTTATCTAAACATCCTGTCTATTTTTGTTATTTCTACATTTCTAGCCCTTAGGTGCACAGCATGTCAGTCATCTGAGTAATTATGAAGCTACTTTGTTTGAGTTTTGTCCGTCCCCCACCTGTTTATTATGTCATTTTAATTCCTAATTGTTATTTTATTAATTTGACCCTTGACCGGAAATTCTTCTGGAACTTTCCCAACCATTCATCATAAATACACATCGAAAAGTGCTGCAGTTAGAAGCGTTACCACTAAGCCATTCTGGATAGCCACGTATCATGGTAGCCACATTAACACTTGATTGATAGAATTCACTCTGCATCAAACGAAGGGCTAGGTAAATTACACTATTTACTAACTAATGTTCAGTCAAAGTTCCAAATACAGTCCTACAAGAGATCAATCGTGAATCCAAATAGCTTAATGGCAATGCCTCTGACTCCGGCAGTCACCGGGTGGCGCGGGTTCGAATCTCAGAGTGGACATGAGTTCATTGAAGCCGGTTTCAGATAAGCCTTGCTGATTGGTTGGTGATGACTAGCACGAAACCCAGATCAAGTAAGGCTTCCTGACGATTGCCTCCAACCATCTAATAAAGCAACCACTAAATGACCGAGAACAAACAATCGTGGTACTAGCCACGGATAATGTGTAAGTTCTACTTTAGGAGTTTGCTGCTGATCAGATCTATCAACTATTTATTTCAGAGATTAAGGTTAACGGTTAGAGTAGGGTCAGCTTTTTGGGTTAGATTGAGGTCAGAATTTAGGCGTAAGGGTGACTTTAGGGTTAAGGAGTAGGGTTGTGTGCCAAGGTCACATTAGGGTTAGAAGTTGAGGCTAAAGGTTAGATTAAGGTTAAAAGGGAGCAATGAAGTTAGGTCTGAGGGTAAGGAGTTCGCTTTTTGATGACAAAAAATACAGAAGAATATATCAATTGGCTTCCTGCGTTCAAACCGAAGTATTTGGGTTCTGGTAGCTAAACTTAATAATAATGAATGATTTTGTTGGTTGTAGGATTTCATCATGAGCTGACATCAGTGTTAGAGAACCACTGGACAGTTGTTTCGTCCTGGTTTGGGTCTCTTCATCAGCACGCTAATTTCCCTAATACATGCAAGAAATGAAAATAGGTTGAACGTATAAAAAAAAGTAGCACTTACCGGAGACATCTAATGTATCCATCCAAGCGATATCTTCACTGGCTAATTCATTTGGTGAATGAAAATATCCAAAATTATCTGTAAACGATGATGATGAGATTGTTGGTGGTGATTCAGTAACCTGAGGCTTATCATTGACTGATTTCATAGATAATGTTCTACTTCTTTGACTAGTTCCACTGTTCGAATCCCTTTCATTTGTACTATTATTATATAACTTTAATAAATCTTCTTCTGTACAGTATTCATTGGAATTAGAAATTTCTCTAGAGCTTTCCAGTTGATCAGTATTCATCTCATTTATGCAATCATCAGATAAATTAGAATAAGAATTATCATGAGTACTGATGTAATCAGCATAAAATAGTGAAGGATCCAGAGTGTTTTCAAAATGATTCGGTATACTTAAAATATTCATTGGTGTAATTGTATCCATTGTCATAAATTCTGATAAGAGATCAGACGGCAAAGATTCTATATTTGTTGGATATCTTGAATTAAACATTGATTGTTCTGGTGACATTGGACCCTCTAAATAACTTCTTAAAACATCATTTCTACTATTTGAAGAAAATGAATCTGCAGATTCTGAAGAACATGGTGAAGTGGAATGCCATGATTGTTGTTCATCTAGGCTGTCGACCACTGGAAGTTCTTGATTGTCATTGGTAATTTTGTTGACAAGTGATGTCAAACTTTCCTGGTCAGTTTTGCCACTGGTTTTTGATATTGTGACTAAAAATTAGGCAGATAAATAAAATGAAATCATTTGAAATATTGTGAAGGATATTTCAAAACGTGGAAAATACCTATTGGAACATTAGATTGAAAAGAACAATAAGTTCAGCAAAGATGGCGGCGATCTTTTCGGCGATTTCATTCTCAAAAGCAGATGTACAATCGAAACTAGTCCAGCCCTTACAACTACTATGGACCTAGTTCGGTGTGTTACCTTATCGTCCAGTTTTTTCTGTTTTGTTTTGTTCTCTGTGTGTGTAATTTTCTCTCTTTGCCTTCATTCAGTTCATCCCATTTCTGTTTTCAGTTATAAAATTAGTTATTTTAAGTTTGTTTCCATACTCCTCCTGATCACACTTGTAATCCGTTTAGAATAACCATTTTACAATTATATTCTAATCCTGTGTAATTTTTTGTTTCTATGCGTCTTGTAATCTATTTTCACACCTCCTTCCTAACTTACATTTCAAGTTGAAAATTTTGATCTCAATTGGTTTCCATGCTTATTTTCTATACACCTGTAATTCGTTGTATCCCTGCGTCTCTAAGCCTCTTGTAATTCATATCAAGTTGAAAATAATTATCACCCTTTATTCGCCCTTAAAATTATTTCTCCAGTTATCAAATATTAATTTTGCCTACGTTGTAACTGTTTTCTAATCCTATGCAATCTTGTCTCTAAGCCGCTTGTAATCTATATTCGTACCTTCAAATTTCCTATCAAGTTGAAAATTATTATCACCTTGGTTACTATGTGGAATTCAATAAGTAGATAATAATTGTATTTATGTAAACTAATGTGTATAAATGCGATTGTACAGCTGCTTTTGAGAATGAAATCGCCGAAAAGATCGCCGCCATCTTTGCTGAACCTTTTGTTCTTTTCAATCTAGGGATATTTCAGTCTTAATTGTTACATATGAGTCACCAGCCGGCATCAGTAAGGGAGAGACCCCTGAAAACCAGGAAGTACTGGACAACCGCTTCGTCCTTGCTTGGAACTCTTCAGATACGCGAGCCCACCATTTCACCAGGGATCGAACCTGAGAACTTCAGGTTACCAGAATCAATTTACTTAACCATTCGGCCACTTGGGCTGAAATTCAGTGACCTGTCAGTTATAACTTATTCACAGTTCGTGATATAGAATCACCCTCAACCAATGCCTTCAATGAACATTCAGTTAGTCTTGACACATCACGGAACCCACTGGTTACGACTTTTCATAGTACAAATTCAGGTTATCCAAATAGGTAGCCATCAATCAGCTAGCTGGTAATTGATAGTTAGATTAACGGATGTTGGGTTCGTGAAGAAAATCAAACAAATGAAATGAAATCTTTACAGATCCCTTCAAATACCTTAATCTAGAATTCAATTTTAAATCACGGAATATGCACAGTGGATCATAGGAGTTATTAAGAAGACAGTGGCAGCGAAGAAAATTTTCTTTTCGACGAAGTCATCATCTAAGCTGTACATTCGTGTATTTATATCAAATGGATAGAAAAGTTCTAGAATAATTTCCGGTTAAGGGTCAAATTCATAATAAAAATTACAATTAGGAATTAAAATGCCATAATAAACAGGGGGATGGATAAAACAAACAAAGTAGCATCATAATAACTAAGAAGATTGACATTGTGCAATTAGGGGTTAGAAATGTAGAAATAACAAAATAGAGGTACATCGATGATATTTTCATCATTTGTGATGAGAACTGTGATTTAAAATACCTACTTCAAATCTTCAATAATGCCCACCCAAACATCGACTTTACTCTTGAGACTGAATCCGACGGAATGTTCCACCCCCTCGACGTCCATCTGACAAGATACGCCAACAACCTTCTGAAAAGTTCCATATAAAAAAGCCTACATGGAATAGACGATTCTTCAACTTTCAAAGCTTCGTGCCCCTAAACAGAAAGAGGAACCTGTGTACGCTCTTTCCTCAAGGATTTGGAAGATATGCAGCGAGGAAGTGATTGATGAAGAACTGAGTGTTCTCCAAGGAACCCTGATGGAAAACGGTTTCCCGCCCAGGTTCATAGACAAGAATCTCAAACCTAAGAAGACATCCGAACAAGTCCAATCCGTTTCGGAGAAGATACTCCTGCTTAATCTAGAATTCAAAGGTGACATTGAAGCAGAAATCCTCCGCAAACGCCTCTGCGAAAGTGTGAGGAAAACATACTTCGCTACAAGCATACGACTGGCGTTTTCCTGCAAGAAACTGTTCAGCCAGAACGCGAAAGACAAGCTGTCGCATTGGGCCACCTCAACGTGCATATACCAGTTTACTTGCTCTTGTGGAGCTGAGAACGTTAGCCGTACTATGCGCCGACTTGAAAACACGCTCGTGAACACTGTTCAGTCTGACTAGTAAAAGGAGGACGAAAATGTGTATGTAGTTCGGTTACAGGACATCTGGTCAATTCAGGACATTCAGCGACTTTCGAAAAATCCTTCAAAATCATGTACAAGATTCGATCAAACCTATCAAAGGGAGTGAAATTAACATATCTGGGCATGCATATCCGAGGCACTAGCTATCCGAAAGCTCAAACCCACGCTATGTGTATCGTAAAGAAACACGTCCAACTCTTGTTCCTGCCATGGCCATCATAAACAGGTAATTTTGTTTTTAGTAATGACCATCCGATTGTCTTTCTTATCCAAACTTCCTGTTTATTCATGTTATTTTAAGTTTTTCTTCATTCCTGTCTGCACAACCATATTTTCATATCTGAATTTCATGTTTATTTTGTCATTTTACTGTTTCTACATATTTAATTCCTAACTGCATAAACAATTATTCATCACATTAGTTTTTTTTATCTAAACATCCTGTCTATTTTTGTTATTTCTACATTTTTGACCGCTAATTGCACTATGTCAATCTTGTTAGTTATAATGATTTCCCCCCTTCTGTTTATTGTGGGTTTTTTTATTCCTAATTGTAATTTTTATTATGAATTTGACCCTTAACCGGAAATTATTCTCGCACTTTTCTATCCATTTGATATAAATGCACGAATGTAAAGGCTAGATGATGACTTCGTCGAAAAGAAAATTTTCTCCGCTGCAATTGTCTTCTTAATTCAATTTTACGTTAAAAACCCAATGAAATATAATCTCATATATATGGTGTAGCGTGTGCTACTGATATGATATATCGATAGTTTATATGTAAAACATCAAATATCAGGGAGATCCATTTTATATTAGGGAGAGCAAATGATACAGAGTTTCGGAAATACATGGGAGACGTGTTTCACAATATGAAGGAAGACCAGAAGTAGCACAACACGTAAGATTTGTACAGATGGTGCTTTGAAGATAAGAAGATGTACATAATTTGTCTTTATATAGAGACATTTTCATGAATTATTATGTAAGGATTATATTTGTTTTTCGAGGCTGCCCATGGACTGATATCAGTTAGAGAACCATTGAAAACAAGCAGGAAGTACTGGACAGCCAGCTGTTTCCTACGTCCTAGTTTGGGAGTCATCGGCAGTACTCACCCACCACAAGGGTTAGAATCCAGGATCTTGCAGTTATACGGCAAGTTCGTATATTATTCAGCCACTGGGACCCGATTCAATGGCTCATGAATTCTAACTTCTACCAAATCATGATATTATCACCACATCCATCTTCACACTTGACTGGCTAGCCCGTGAATTGTAACTTCTACCAATTGATGACTTTATCACGACCACGAACCAGTGTCATCCGCAGGACGTCTGTTCTCACATGTGACTGAGTGGACCTCAATGGTCGCGACTTCTCACTGGAACTCCAGGAAACTCCGTCCTGTAGTTTGTCACTAGCGAGCATCAGATTAATTTTCAGGAGTTGTTGTGTAAAGAATTATAGAGATACCTAATTGCCAATTAACATTCCTTTATCAAGTCTTCGCCGTCAACCGTTACAATATTTGTTCCTTTTCTCTTGAAACTCTGCAAAAATTGATATATGATATTCTGAATGAGATGCTAATCCAATATCGATTGTCTCAAATACTGAAGAGTTATTCTGCAAACATTCTTAGGCTGATTAACTTCTGGAAAATATTTTGCAGCTGGATTCTGGTGTATACTAACTAATCGAGGTACATTGTTCTTGACGAATTCTGGGTATGAAAAAACACTTATCACTTGGAGTCTAAGTAAGCCCACTCATAGCTTGTTTTATTGCGTTGTTTCATACCTATGAAGGAATTTTTTGTGGTGAAATTAATATAGGGCGTCGGTAATTCAGTGGTGCTTTGCTTGTCATCTATGTTGGAGGTTCGGGTCTGGAATACTAGCTAACGTACCCCTTTACACTGTCTAGTTTGCTAGCTTGCAGTAGGTTCCGAAAACAGTGGATGTTGGATTTGAGACTAGAAGACTCATCCTGTCAAAGCTTAATATCTTTTTTACCAGTGGTTAAATGAACAGAACACTGTGATGGTCCCAATAAAAAGATTTCAGCATGTAGTTTCTGTTACACTTAATTTATAATGATGATATGATGATATTATCCAATCAGTATACGTATAGTAGATTACTGAATCGAATGAGCCAACACCCATAGTGTATACCAGTTTTTTTTCAATGAAGTTAACGTCCAGTGTTGTTAGAAAATCCCTACCAATTAAATACTTGGAGATTAATCTGATCCTCATTAGCGTTTGACTACGGGATGAAGTTGCCTGGTCTTCTGGTGAGAATTCGTGACCATTGACATCAACCACGTCGGGTGTGAGGACGAATATTCGTCATCGATAACAGTGGCTAATGGTGGCGCTATATATCATGAAATGACAGAAGTTCCGTTCGAGTGGATGAATGGTATGAAAGCTTGCCTTGTAATATGTAGGTCTTGGGTGCGAGCTCCTGGGAAACCAACAGTGCGTGTTGCTGAAGAGTCCCTAACAATGATGAAACAGTTGTTCAGTACTCCCTGGTCTTCATTAGTTCTTTAACTGGTATTAATCTGTGATCAAACTTATAACCAGTCAAATCCCTAAAAATTGACATTCAAAAAGTAGAATTTGTAATTATTCAAATAATCAGATAGAAAATCACTAATGAACTACTTTGTTAAAAATTCAAGTTTTGCAAAGTTAGTCTTGTTCTCATGTCGACTGCCGTTTATCATGACGATGAGAAAATGTAAAGACTCTTCCGGAATTCTCAATATGTTTTATTGGGTTGAAAAATTATAAGAATTACTGGGACTGTGTTCACATAACAGCTGTCCACAGAACTGGTCTAATTAGTTATTCAGTAAATTTCAATTAGCATGCACACGTAGGTGTTGAATAAACTAGTTGAACATTGAACACAGAAAATTTTGATTGGTAAAGAATTTGACGAGGTAAAAAACTCAACAGAATCAATTTCGACTTCAAACAGCCTTGTTAGATAGTGTCTTCCAATCCATACTTGCACTTAGGTGGATACTTGGGTGATTTTCTTTCACTTCAAACAGTCTTCTTATCACTTAGCATGATTTAATTGGACAGGTGTATATAAAACTGGAAATTATCTCAAAATATCACACGTAAATGAATTATCCAATCACTTGCAATGTGTAACTTGCTTTCTGTCAAGAAGCCTCCAGCATCGAATTGTTTCTGGAAATTTCTGCCAAGTAAATCATTGTTTTCTCAGGAGAAATTCGGTTCATTGATGTGTTCTAGCATAGTTGATGAATTTCAAATATGTGTTTTGTAGCAGTATTTCATAGGATTATGCTTAAATCAGACATCGTGTTTTTCTTCTCTCTTTATTGAGCAGACTACTTATTAATTTGTCAAGTACTATGATCTAAATTTTGAAAATATTCATGCTTTGATAACTCCAGTGTTTCATTTCCTTCGCTGGTGTATTTAAGTCTTGGAGAATGATAAACCACCCGAATATTTTAAAAGCAGGACTAGTTTTAACTATAAACACCACAAAAATAAGTTTTACTGATATGAAAGTTTTCAGATGAAAGAAGATATTTACCAAAATTGTATTATTGTAAATTAATTATTATTTTAATCAGACATGACTTTTTAAATGTAATGGTTCAGAAGCTTGGGGTATATCTCACTGAAACCACTTTTAACAGGTTAATTCACATTTGTGCCAACAGGTGGCTTCTGAGCTCCATAATGAAGATGAGATGGCCTGCAAGGATGGAACTCTGACAGCGAACCAACTATCAACCTGTCATTTGGAAGAAATATGCAGTAGAAAATGAAAACGGGTGGGACATGCGCGGAGGACATTGTTGACTGAAATCGCGCGCCAGACCGTTGGGTTAAATTAGAATAGGAAATGATGAGCCTTAGGGTAACATAGAAGAGATAGTACGAGGAAGATAAGAAAAGCATTGGCAACTGTAGGGCCAGCTTAATGACGTGTACGAAAGATATGATGATGTGCTGTTGTAGCCCTAGGCTTCACATGGAACCCAAGGGAAGAACAATAATATCTGTAAATCAGCAAGTTTCCCACAGACCATTAATCAGAAATAACTGTCATCAGTGATTTACAAAACTGGTACTTTGCAAAAATTATTTGTTGAAACTTATATCTTTAGCATAACTCACCAGTATTGCTTCCATTCATCTGTACATTATCTGTTTTTCCATCAACTGACCAGGGACTTTCATCGTATAGTTTGAACAAACTGAATGGATATGAAAATAGTAATAAAAAAGAACATGATTAGTAGAACTCAACTACACTTTGTAGTTTGCAAAAACATCTGAGTAGAACCAACTATAAATCTCATTAGACAAATAAACATCCCAAAAAGGATCACCTAACAAATACAGTAGAGGGAATAGAATAATCGATTATGGGGTATATACATCTTTTTGCACGCAAATAAAATGCGGAGATTTTTTCTATTTTTTATGCCTTTGCACTCCAAGTGGAACACAAGGCTCCAGGTTGGAGCTTTGACATTTCAGTAGCAATGGTGTTTTTTCTTTTACTGAGTGGATTTACTGGTCGCACGTCCAACCTCCAGCCTTTATCAGACATATTACTAGTTCAAGGAGGTTTTGGAATGCGTTGGCCGGGGGATCGAACAACCGGCCATGTGTGTGGTTAGCAAACATCCTACCACCGAACCACTGACACACTGAAATCAGGCGCAATTATTCTAACCATAATGATAGTCAACTAAAGATATACTTCTTGACCAGAAACAACAAGCATTAATCACCAACAATGGAAGAAGTCTAAAAGATGTCACCTATTCTACACAGCATCGTTTCAACTAAATGTGGTATGGATGAAGAAATCAAAGGTAGGCTCACAAAATATAAGAAACAAACATTCATTACTTGGGACGATATTCGAGTTTTAATCATTAATGTCAAGTCAGCCGGTGTTTTTATGTGGTTCAGACACTTGAAACGTGTGACACCAAAAAGAATTTCCAAAAGCCTGCCTCCCTGCCTGCTTCAGACTTTTATTAACACTTGCCTCCTTCTCATCATCAGTACTGAAGATCAGATGTCTGGAAAGAATAAGTACCAAAAGAATTCTGATAATGAAAACCAAACCAGAACCTATTGCTCAAAATATATGCAGAAGGAATTGGATATATCTTGAGAAGATGGTTGATTGACATCGTGTTCTAGGCCATAGAGAGGAATCCGAATGGGAAGCGACGAGTTGAGCGTTGGTCTGAGGATGCCACAGAGAAGATGAAAGCTTATGGACTATCATGGAGCCAGTTTAAAAGGACTGCAAAAAAAAATGTAGTGGGCTGGTAATGTCCTACTGAAGCCCTGTGTTACACTTCGAACCCAGAGGAATAATGATGATCATTTAAGTGTTGGTTTTTAGGGATTTGAGTGATCTGTTATATGATTTCATCATGAGTTGACATTGGTTAGAGAATCATTGGAAAACCAACTGGGAGTACTGCACAGCGGTTTCCTACGCATCTACCGCCAGGGTTCGAACCAGGGACCTTCTGGTTACAAGGCGAGCTAGCTCGTAGACCATTAAGCCACTGGAACACGATCCAATGGCCAATTCATGAATTCTAACTTCTGTCAATTCATGATATAGCGTGACCCCTAGCCAATGTCATCTGTGGCGAGTATTTGTCCTCACATCCGACCTGCTGCAACCTACTGGTCACGACTTCTCACTAGAACTCCAGGTAACTACCTACCTGAATAGGGCAAGGACCGATCATAATTGATTGGCTTTGTGGAGACTTTGTAACTGAGTGAATTAGAAGGTAAGAGCATTATTATGTGAAGTGGTAGGCACCCTGTATCATTTCCATCCGATTGATCCCCGTGCAATATGATTCAAGTAGATCCAAATAAGTATCTAAGAGGTTGGAACATTCATCCCAGATTTTACTTTCTCTTTGTGCAAATAAACGATTGAGTTTTGTGAATGTATTCAGTAGTAAAGCGAACTTACAAGTGATCTCAAATTCTAAGAAAAAAAAGTTGATTAACTCTGTCTCGTAATGAAAAAGTATCCCATGCAGTCTAGTGGATAACACTTTGATGTTTGAAACCATGCGAAACTGGTTTCAAATCTCAGTGGGAACAAAATCACTCACTGCGAAGTGAAGTTACATTGGGCTGATGATACCTAGATAGGACAAACTGCTCAGTGCTTTACGATGATTCGCCAACCACACATGTGGTTCCCTCCCCCAGCTGATGCCCTCATAAACTTCACTTGACTGTGGTAGTAAGCCTAGTAGAGGGTAAGTGTTGGGTGTGAGACTAGAAACCCTATCCTTTAAAAAGAAACACAATTGCTGCTGAAATTTCAAAGTTTAATCTTGAATCCCTATGTTCTACCAGGAATAACAAGATTAAAATAAATAGTAATTAAAAAAACACAACGGAAATTTATCAGTGCCCACCAATAACAGTCAATATTTTGTTGAATGTTACTGGCAATGAGTTTAAAATCAAATCACAAGATTTTACTTGAAAAATGTTCATTGTAAATGCTTTATCACTCAGTTGGATATTCCTTCAATTTACGGATTTATATTTGCGCCGATTCTAACTAGAAAATTACTTGCTTTGAAGATAACTGACTGACCTAAGGTGCACTTAAAACTGCGCATCGCCAGTCAGATGTTTTCTCTAACTTCAAACAACCTCATCCTATGCTTTCAAATAAGTTTCTAAAAGATTGAGCTTGATGTGATCACACTTCTTAGACTTTCTATGATTCTTCATAGTCATGAATCAGCAGATTTAAAATAACTCATGTCTATTTTACAAGTATCCAGGGAGTAACCTGAGGTTCTATTAGGAAGTTAAGACCAGTAGGGTGCAGCAGGTTGAAGGTGAGGCAGTAACTCATCGATGAAGAAATTGTGAAGTAGTCGCGCTATGTCATGAACTGGTAGGAGTTAGAATTCATGGGCTGGCCATTGGATCGGGTCCCAGTGGCTTAATGGTCTACAAGCTCGCTGACCTTGTAACCAGGAGGTCCTGGGACCGAAACCTGACGGTGGGTGTGTATTGCTGAAGATTCCCAAACTAGGACGAAACCGCTGTCCAGTACTCCCAGTTAGTTTCCCAATGTTTCTGTAACTGATTTCAGGTAATGATGAAATTCTCCAACCATATCTCATGTCTGACAAAAATGCTGATCCCTAGTCTTAAATCGCTCTTCAGATGGTATTTACTGATACTGAAATGTATTCACAATAAGGTCTTCTCTGTTCATAATATCTAGGTTTATTTATGCGTATATGAAACATTTACAGAATCTAAAAGCAAGGGAACTCCTTGAACCTTAAAAAGACTGAATGCCTTCATATTTCTTACAAAAAAAATTGATGCACGCATGCAACAAACTATTTATTGGCTTAGATAAACTGTAAGTATTACTAAAGAAACATAAAGTCTATAGACTGCCTGCCGTCATGAACGATATACATTTATGGTACACAAAACGTGTTAGCTGATTTCTGTGAAAAAGTTTATCAACTTTTCTGAACGACTAAAGACTGAATTGACTTGATGACTCTGAGACGATGAAATGTTAATCGGTATAAGGGAACGGTAAGATGCCATCGATGTCTGATCGGGTGCATAATCGTTAACACAAGACTTCGAATACCTTAAATATTCGGATGCGAATTAGCAGTTTATTCAATTATTGTTTAGTTTTCAAGTGTAGGTTTTCGCAGGGATTTGACTAGTTACAGGTTCGACCACGAGTTGACATCTCAGTTAGAGATCCACTGGGAAACCATGCGGTACTGGCAAGTTGTTTTGTCTTGGTTTAGGAGTGTTCCATAGTACATACAAACCGATGTTAGAACCCAGACCATTTCACTAGGACTTGATCCAATCTCCAATCCATAAATTCATATTCCTGTCAATTCGAGATACATACAGCACAACCGCTCACTAATTTGATAGACGAGTAAATGTCCTGTTACCTGACCAGTAGGGTTCTCTAAATGATGTCAGCTCATGGTCAAACCTGTTTACCTGTAATTCAGTTGTTTAAATTAAATCTACAAAGTAAACAGTATTTATCGAATCCGCCCAAAACGAAAAACAGGCTGACGTATGTTTTAGCTGTAAAAATAAACGCAATAAAAGCCTCTCCTTCAATTAATATTGCCTCATACGCCTTAATTTAATTTTTTTTAAATTTTTTATTGACACAGATGGGTTCTGTTCTACACTTCAAAATTTATTGACAGTAATATTTTCTTTCACCTTTGATCTGTTTCACTTCAAATTAACGTTCTCAATAATTATAATAATAATGACAATATTTCATTGTTATTTAATTGTAAGGACCACACAGGTATATACTCACACACACACACACACACACACACACAAATACATGGGCGTGAATACACATGTGCACACGAAACGCAAATATAATTGCAAATATTACGATGATGCGTAACAGGCGTCATACATGTTAGAATGGAGGATGAACGAATGACACATTATTCAGATTTTGAAAGAATTGATTATCTGTGAATCTTTATTGATCATTTTTCGCCAGTTTCGTCTAGACTTGGAACTCTTCAGCAAGGTGCAATCATGACCTTAATTAATAAGGATAGAGTGTATAACCCTCAAGTTACTAATCGAACCCGTTGATCATTCAGCACCATGGCCAGTCAATAATATCAATGAGTATCCATCAGACAGTTGACATAGTGGATCCCTATAGGTTGTGACTTCACTACATTTGAATTAAACAAAAGTCGTTCGTTAGCGTTAAATCATCATTGAAGCTTGAATGTTTTTGAGTGAGTGTTAATCATTAGAGAAGTGTTTCTGAATGTGTTAGATTTTTTCGGTAAGTGCTACGATGGTGACGAACCATAGTAGAATGACAGACACATATTTCGTCTTCTGCGACACTTTTCATCTGTATGTGCTTGAATTTTCCTGTCGGTGTTCTAAAGGATATCTGAATTTACTTCTTTTTTTTATTCCCAACCTACACAAAACCTCGGAGGATCTGAACTTCGCCGATCATGATATGTATCTGATTTCCCACAAACTGGAAGATATACAAGTGAAAAGCAACAAGTTGACAGAAGAAGCAATAAAGAAAGGTATTCACGTGGACATAGAGAAAACAGATGTAGTGATGCAGATCCCTGGCCAACAGCAACAGCCAACAATCAGCATAAATGGGAGG